GATCACGCTTTCACTGTTACAATTTTTACCGCGCTTATTTAGATGTAGTGTGGTGTGCCAGTCTGCCAACGCAACACGAGAAAACAGACAAACTCGATTGCTCTGGAGTTTAACGCATCAAATGCGGCAACTGTGAGCAGAAGTGCATCTGTGAAAGAGAAAGAAACATCGGCATATGAATCAAGGAAGATCAAAGACTCTGCAGGAAAATGCATACTAAAAGATCCGTAATAAACGAGCACATTGCACGAATGGGGCACGAAATCGACTGAAAATCGACCGAAAGGTTGGCAGCATATGGTAAAAATACGAGAAAGCGCAAGATCCGAGAGGGCATCGATACACTGACCGAGAGAAATCTAATGAACAGGAGACTTGAAGAAGGCAGGATCAGCGAAAACTTTGCACATTGCCTAAACAAACTAGGAGAAGACCAGGCAACGGTAAAATAAGCAAAAACAAGACGACTGGATCAAGGTAATATCCTTAATTTTAGGAAAAGAGATCGCAGGATGACGAGAAAGGAACAATTAGAAGCAAAGAGGAGACGTCTTCGGTGAGCCTAATCAAAACAAGTAGAACCACGACAATTGTGGGTTGGCACACAGGAGACTAGGACATAGGAAAGATAGAGATAGTATTACAGGTAAAAACAGCAAAGACGCGTTGGAAAATAGAGCTATTTGGCTAACACTAGAAGTGATCCTTAAATCACGACTATTGTTAGCCAACTAGCTCTAGCTTCCACTGCTTCTATCCTCTTTCTATTTATAATATCAAGTCTATGCCTTCCTATGCCCTAGTCTCTTGTGTGCCAACCCACAAACGTTGTGGTTCAACATTGAAGCTAATTAAAGCAAGCACTACCACAACATTTGTGGGTTAGCCCACAAGAGACTAAGGCATAGCAAGTCATAGACTTGGTGTAAGGGATAGAAACGGGATAAACGCTGTGGCGGTTGGAGCTAGTTTGCTGACAGTAGGTTTCATAAGAGACGTGGTCCATGTGGCA